CCTTAGGCACTGTGCTACCAGAGCTCCTTAAAGACTCACAAGGTTGATTAAAAAATTTTTGACGATTATTTGTACATGCTTACCAGGGTACCTTTAGAGATGACAAAAAATTTTCTAACCCTGTTCATGTTCCTCGCACACAACACAACATGGAGTCTCTCTCGCCTTCTCCACAGTCTAAGCTCTCCCAGATGACAGAAGACTGGAGGCATTTTGTAACCCAATGTTGGAAAATAATCCCTAAAATCAAACCCTAAAGGAATTCTGTGATTTTTTTTATCAAGGTATTTTGGTTTATGTAAAAAAAAAAAAAAAAATCATTCAGAAACTAAAGGGCCAATCCATCAGATGTTGTATAATCCATTCAGAGCAATTGGGGCAAACAAGTTTCTTTGTTACTCTTTCCACCCACTCAGCAGGTCCCGGGATATTTGTGTGGGCAATCACGTGTACCTGATTCTGAGGGTCCTCTGTTCACAGAAATTCTGAAATCAGCAAATAAAATGTTGCAAAAAAAAAAAAAATCAGAATAAGCATTCATCCTCCGGGCCTATTGATCTAAATAGCTCTTTGCATTTGAAAATTTTAAACATTAGGATTGTTTGGCATTATTTGGACTTATAACACTGCCTAATAGAACTTCTACCTTCTGCAGTAGGCTCTCTAATTAAATATCTGTTCTCTAATATCTCTAATAGGAGCTCTGGTGATGTAGTGCCTAAGGCACTTGACTGCTAACCAGAAGGCAGGAGGTTCAAACCCACCAGCCACTCCTAGGAAGGAAGATGGGGCAACCTACTTCCATAGTGATACCACCTCAAAACCTAAGGAGGGGTTGGTATGAGTTGGGTCCCACTCAACGGCACATAACAACAACAAACAACAATATCTCTAATATCTAATAATACGTGTTCTTGTTTCTGTATATAATCTAAGAGATTGCTATCAGATAGAAACCTTATTCAATTTAGATGTTTAATATCAAAGTCATCATTTTCTAACAATATTAGGTATGATCTAACACCATAACATATGATAGAAAAACAACAAAAGTTCAGTACGTTCAATACAGAGTACATACGATGAAGTCAATATTAAAGTCTGGCAGAGAACATCCACTTTCCCAGATTAAAGGTCCAAGTTAAAGGGACAGATCTTTGCATTAAAACTTAAATATTATCACAAATTGTGAAGTTAAATATGTGTAAAGAGAAAACACCTCTGGTTTCTCTTTTGGGAAAACGTCACTACTTTATCTGACAAAAACCTGGACTCTCCAGGCATGTATCATGGGAAGTAGGAGTTTTCAACTACAGTTATTAGTTTTAAAAAGGTTTCTAGGAGAAAAATCATGCGTGGCAAATTCGTTTCTATAAAAGTGTTCTAAGAAATTATGCTTTAATGACACAAAAGAAAAATATTTTTGGAAATAAAATTAGAGCATAAATTTCATGACTTACCTAAGGTTTACAGTAAGTATATAAAAGATGTGTGATGTCAAGTGAATAAAAAGTAGTTTGGGTTGAAGAGAGTTCAGGATTGCATGAAGACCCTGATAATGCTGCATTTTCCTTTTTAGTGTGATAAGTTTCTGGTTCCTTTTCAGGATGTAGTTCTCTGTCTGTAATGAATGTTTTTAAGGGTGAGAGCCAGTGTGTCAGCCTGAGAATCATGCTATAAGACTCCGCTCTGCATTCTTTGGAAAGTGCCTCCACCCACTGAGATGGGCTGGGAGCTCTACCTCTCTCCAAATACCTCAGATAAGTCATTGACCTCCCTGTGCCTCACTGCCCTCATTTGTGAAATGGGGGGTCCTGACTGATCTACTCCAAGGTTCCTTCTAGAGCTTAAAACATTCAACAGAATGCATTAAAGCAAGAAAGGTTTAGTTGGTTTGTTTGGGTGCACACAAATGGAATCTTATCATTTGATTGTTATTGTTAAAAACTAGTCTGTTGGCAAAATTCCATAATACTTTTAAAAATCAGAATTAACTAGGTAGTGTAGCCTAAGGCACTGTTCAAACCCACCAGCCACTCCTCAGAAGGAAGGTTGGGCAATCTACTTCTGTAGAGATACCTCCTGGGAAACTAAGGAGGGATCTCTATAAGTTGGATCCAGCTCAACGGCAGTGAGTTTGATTTTGGTTTTGAGTTTTACTATAGTTTTAGTAGGAGCTCTGGTAGCATAGTGGGTAAAGCACTTGACTGCTAACCAGAAGGCTGGCGGTTCAAACCCACCAGCCACTCCTCGGAAGGAAGGTTGG